TTTTCATTTCATGTTCTAGGTCGCCCACCAGTATAATGCGGGTATGCATTTATGTTTTCATTTCATGTTCTAGGTCGCCCACCAGTATAATGCGGGTATGCATTTATGTTTTCATTTCATGCTCTAGGTCGCCCACCAGTATAATGCGGGTATGCATTTCTCTTTTCATTTCATCTTCTAGGTCGCCCACCAGTATAATGCGGGTATGCATTTATCTTTTCATTTCATGTTCTAGGAAGCCCACCAGTTAAATGCGGGTATGCATTTAATAGAAGGTAGATGGAGAACATCTTTCAAAACTAAAACTCTATCACTATTAAATGAAACTCTAATAGATCTCTTAATGCTAAAGCTGGTGTTGGCTCGCCATTGACTTGAAAAACGCAAACTTCATTCTCACTTAGCCGTCGTATTTCCTGAAATCCCTGCAAAGTAGTGCAAATATGATTAGTGGCTGCTGAATCTATACACCAAAAAATGTGTGGTAGAGACAACCGCTAAACAAGTTTCAACGACATTTAAATTTGAATTACCTTGCTTATTCAACTTTGCCAGATAGGCAGGGCATTGTCCCTAGTTGCTTGCAATGATAGCACTTTCCTTTGGGCTTTTTCATACCGCAACTGCACTTCCAGGTGCCAAAACCTTGCAAGCCTTTTCTTTTTCTTATCGCCTCTCGGCTTAGAAACCGAAGCTTTCTCAAAGTTCAGCTCCACAACTGGAGCTTGCTATTTGATAATAGATTCTACTGCTTGCAGCTCATTCCACAATTTCTCTAGTAACAAATTCATTTTGTTCATATTATAGTTCAAGAGAAATTGTTGAAAACTATCGGGCAGAGTCTGCAGGACCATCTCAACTTGAGATTTCTTATAAATCACAGCTTCAAGGACTTCCAGTTCATTCAGAAGATCCATTATCTTCAGAACATGGTCTATAATTGATGATCCTTCAGCCATCTTAATATTCAAAAGGGCTTTCATGGATGTCTGCTTAGCCACACGATTTTTCTCACCGAACATCTTTTTGAGACTTTCAAGCATGTAATAAGCAGACCCCATAGACTGATGCCGATGATGCAAAACATTCGCCATAGATGCAAGAATGTAACATCGCGTCATCTCATCACTCTTAACCCATTATCATAGGCCTTAACCTGATCATCAGTAACATCTTCATCAGGTTTTTCTGAGAAATCATCAGTGATTACGAATTTTTAACCTTTAGCAGCTAGGACAATATCAAGGTTTCTTTTCCAGTCAATATAATTTGGTCCTTTCAACTTATTTTGGTTCAACATTGAGGTAAGTGGGTTGAATGAAGACATGATTAATCTGAGAGATATTCACATTAAATAGATCATTAATTATACAATTAGAATAATAAATTCATAATAACACATTACACATATAACCATGCGCATTGAACAGTTAGATTCGCTAGGGAAACTTAACTATTCATGCAAAATATAAGTTATGTAAGATATTTACCCCATAAATTAAAACATGATCAACTCATATGGAGAATAAATTGTCAATTTAAGATAGATAAATATAACTTTTATAAACCCTAGTTTTATTGAATCAACATGTAACTCAGTTGGAGAGTTAATACAAGTTATCAAACTACTAGAGGTAGAACTACAACAATCATCTACAATGAATTTATCTGATGTGTAAGAAGACCTATGTCAACATATAAATTCATTATATTACTGTAAAACATGAATGGAAACCATAGGGATTGAACCCTACCACCACTGTTTTCTTTTTAAAAAAATTATTTTTATTAATATTTTTTCAAAAAATAGAAAAATGGCCAAAATCCCATTTAAGCGACCCCGAATGCCCGAAAAATGACGTACATCATGAGCAAAGCTCATCTGTATTGAGTACTGGGTCGTTTCCGATGAACCTACCAAATTTTAGGTCAATTGGAGTTCGACAAAATTTTAGAATTCCAAATTCATGACCTATTTGCAAGAAAACTATTTTTGGCGTTTTTAGGTCTATTTATTTTGACTCGTTCATATCACATATCATACTTATGTATGTTAATCCATGATTTCAAAACTCAAAATATTATTATAACAGTCTTGTTTCATAAAAAACACTATTTTAATGGAATAAACTAAACAAACACGAGAAAAACGGCATTGTTTTCATGAAATATAACACCACTGTTCATACTTATGTATGTTAATCCATAATTTCAAAACTAAAATAGTACTCAAAACATTTACGATTTTGAGAAAACACCATTGTTTTCATAGAATAAACACAACAAGCATGTATAGATTAACAACATGTTTTAATGTTACTTTATTCGTGTTGTTTCACATTAAATAGTTAGATGTAAGACGACGTCTGATACCATTTGATAGAACATGCGTAGCGGAAGCAAGCATATAACTCAGGTACACAAATATGTAAACTGGATGTATAATAATATAATTACAGAGATTAGAAGCACTAACCTCTCAAAATCGTTGCACAAGTCCTTCGCAGAGCAAGAATCCAGGGCTGCAGTTTTCTGCTTTGCTCCTTGTAAGACCTTGAACGGAATTATTTGTGTGGGCAAATAATACAACTCTGAAGAGTGAGTTATTAGGTGGAACTAGTCTTCCTTAAGTAGACTCGAAATTAAGCCAAAAAAGGGGCTCAAAACCGTGTAGGATTATGCTAGTGCAAGTAGAATCCTACTCTAACTCAAAAAGTAATTATTTTCCAAAGTCACTTTTTACCAAAGTCTGTCCAGGTTTTTTTTAGGTATAGCAGGGACCACAGAAACAATAAGAGACTACCAATTGTAGTATTAATTCAAAATTTGGATGAATTAAATCCCACTATAATTAATCGTAGTTTATTCCATTAAAAAACTGCAATTAAACTCCTCAATATGAATTTTGAAATTCATTAACACTTATTTAACTCCCAATGTTAAGATTATAAATACCAGTTAATTAAACTAAATCACTAATAATTTAATTTAATCAACTAATTAAATCATTTACAATTCCGCTTAAACCATTTCATGTGACGGATACAAAATTCTCCGGCCGAGTTTTCACAAGAAAACTTATAAGCTTACGTAAAAGGGTATCATCAAACTCAAAACCGAGTCACGGATTGTATCAACTAATTATTATTTCACAAATGTTATTCGCTATTGTCCAATCTATTAGGCATACACCAACTCTGAATATAGTTGTACCTTTTGATAAATCAAAACAATAAACAAATCACATTGATCATAATAACTAGATCAAGATTAGGAGTATAAGCTCATTTAATGAATCAGAGAAAATATTTTATATATATTCAGTACAAAAATATTTTTTCTCTACTTGGTCCGATTAATACACTAAGTATACTAGCACACGAAGTTAAAATAAAATCACTCCCATAATCAAGATAAATTATGCTTTAAATCTTGTGCTACAATCATCAAGATATTTTGCCCAACAATATTTTCGATTGTGAACATAGTTTATTAATTAAGAGAACCGACAATTTAATCTTCTATGCATGAGCTAAGACGCCATACACTAAATTGTCTACTACATAACTAAAGGGCACACATATAACAAATGATCTATTTAAAATAATTCTTTATTGAATTGAATAAATTAAATAAATAATTATTCCATAAAAAATAAAACACAATACTATATCTAAACCGCATAGTTAATAGGATATTCCAACAGTTTTGCGCTCTTTTATTATATTCATACATAACCTAAATTTGGAAGGATATGAAATCAATGATGGCATATTATTATGTTGTGTAACTAATTGTGAACTTCAAGGAGGATTTCATAAAGCTAATACGTCCGGAGGCAATAGTATCAAAAAGTTGAGACTTTTATGAGAGGGAAAGCTCTGATCTGATTGGCTTTCTGAAGAATAATTGAAGACTCCGTTAATTGTAATTATGAAGCAGCCATGGCAATGCCAATGTGTAAAACTCTTTAATAATGCGTGGATAATGAGGTGGGACAGTGTATAATGTCAATGATATAGTGTGGAATTTAGTTAATGAAGCTAAAGTATCCATTGTTAGCAGGAGAGACTTTTTCCGACGATAATTTGCAAGATTCGCGCTCGGTAGAAGTTAGTAGATTTTAAACATGAGAATCATGAAAGTTTTGGTAAACAATTATAAAGAAAAAACGAAGATTAATTGTTAACCTACCGAAATAGTGGGAGAATTAGGATAAAATTGGTACGATATACAATGAATTTTAGGATGCCTAATAATTCTATGTGGATGAATGATCACTAGATGTTGAATTATTATGCTCAATTGTCAAAATTAAACTAGTTTAATCATTACTACTAGTTAGTCAATCCACATGCATTTCATCTATTCAACTTCATTCACTTCATCAACCTAGTTTTGTAGCTGCTCGACAACTCCCCCAGCTATGGTTACTTGAGCAAGCAATTCACTCATCTATCATTTGTCATCAGAAAAAGAGTTAATACAAAATGAGTAATTAATAAGAGCCAAATACACCGCACTGGTATTTTCTGACATTTTCAACAAACGGTAGCCAACTTTTCCGAATTATCAAATGTGCATGGTATCTGTACGAAAACTTTTAACTCAGCTATAGCTCGTTCATGGCTTACTCCACTTGCAATAACTGTCAGGTATAGTAGAACTCAAAATTTAGAAAATATCAGAATTTACTTTTAATGGATATGCGTTCAGTATGCTTCCACTAATTAATTACTTTAATAATTAAAATGTACCATAGATTAAATATGTAAATTTTCTATTAAATTAGTCGTTAGCCGGCCACCAAACATATTCCACTCGAAGTTATTCTTTTGAAGCAAGTTGGGGGAATTGTCTCTTTAATATTGTTTTTGTGCAAACATTCATCTGGGACGGCAAACTTGATAGTGATTTATTTCCTAAATATAATGTTCATAGAACCTTTTAATCATGTTTGCAATGTTCTTAATTAGCAGAAACTAGCATTGTTTATTCATAAGAGCAGGTGGGACAACGTTAGGATACATTTTTGCTTACATTAGAAACAAAAGGAAGTTTGGTAATTTGGAATATGTTTGTGCCTATGGTATGTAATGGAGCCAAGATAACAAAAGTATTATATGCATGGTATAGAATAATGTGATAGCTAGTTTCATGGAAGGGGTACCTGTATATGGTCAATTGAGGTCACATCCATCAGTATGAAATAAATATTATTTCCTTATTTGATTATAATATCTAATTATAGGTGAGAGACTCTTTTATCGGCTTATATTTATTTATTTGAAGTGGTGAATCCATAAATAGATAAGCATTCTAGTCCAAGCCTAAAACAAAAGGAGAGAAAATAATTTCTCAATAACAATAAAACTATAATTATTATAACTTAGATTTTCAGATTAAGCTGTTCACTCGTTTCTTTAGTAGTATATAATATATCTGTGTATACGGTTAAAGTCGGGATCACCCGATTTCACTTATGGGTCGGGACCAAGGGACAGTTCGAGGATTGGCCTCGCAGTATATCAAACCGAGATATGAAGATAAGACACCGACTCCGAGATTCGAAGTACCTGTCGAGGTTGAGACCGATGATGATCGAGATCAAACAGGATAAACATCGAGCAAGACCGAAAATAGCATAATAACAGAAAGGCGAGATATCCGTGACTGGCCGAGGATCATGGCAGAAATCTCGGAACGGATCAAATCAAGAACGGTTATTTAGCCCATCCTAAGATTTATTTATTAGAATTGTACCATAAATAGGATTACTCTAATATATAAAGAGGGTTCTAATCATTTTTGTAACCATCTTACATTCACATATCAAAGCAATACAATACTTTTTTCTCTTATACTCTCTTGTTCATCAGTTTGTTTCGTAACTTTACTCTCACTAATTCAGTTCGAGGGTGACCTAGCTCGAGGGCTGAATTGCATTTTAATACTGGTTTGCATTACTTTGTTGTTTATTTCTACTATTAATCATCATATTTATCAATTGGTGCTAGGTGAAATTACATATCCTTAAAATCACTTATAAGTTTAATTGTTATCCGATTTTAAGGGTAAACAATCTATTTTGAGG